CAGCAATGTCTTGCAATGTCCCTACCTCCCAAAATCATTTCTAGATAGCATTATATTATATGGTGATATACATAATCTCCTGTTCTTAAGTAACAGCAATGTCTTGCAATGTCCCTACCTCCCAAAATCATTTCTAGATAGCATTATATTATATGGTGATATAATGCAAAGGAAAAAAACCAGCCAAATTAAACAGAGGAAAAGTTCCCTCCAGACTTTTATTTATTTTAGAGGCAGGATGAGGACATTTCAGGGAGGAGGATGGTGAAGGTGAAAACTGGTGGCATGAACTACTTTACTCAGACTGCCATTGGATTTTTTGTATGGTGATTAAACATTCCTAAGGAAAGAATAAGCAGCTTTTACTTGCAAGAAAGTTAAACATCCCTGTTCTAGAGAGCAGGGAAAAAAAATCAGTAAGTAAGCCTTTGCCATATACTTTTATTAGTTAATTAAATTCCAAGCTCCTAGTAACCATGTGGATAATAGTATAAGTACTTATGATATGGAGACTGTGTTCCCATTTCATATTTCTACAGTGATATCTGCTATAAAAAGATACTTTTCAAAAGAGTAATTAATAAAGCCAAAGCTGTAGATGCATTACAAGAAAGCCAATACTAGAGATGTAGCACCTGCATATATCTACAAATACATAACTTAATCCAAAGCTATAGCATTGTAGATAAGAGTATCTTATTTGAACAGTATCATTTCCCACCACAACTACTTTTTGAGAAATCACTGTAGATATCAGAAGGATGGCAACAGGTCCACTTCAATGAGGAACAGCATAAGGGGTTTCTCTGTATATGGACGGTAATTTTAAAATTTAGCTTAAAAAGTACCTTCAATTTTCTCATTTAACATCACATCCGATATATCGGAAGCTAGCACAGATAGTTTACTTAATCCAAGAAGAGTTTTCTTCTTCGCAAAGTACCTTGTTTCTGTATTTGCTAAATTCTGGAGTGTTCTGTAAGCCTAAGAATGACCAAAATAGTTCTGATTAGATAAAGCTATGAAAGAGGAAAGTTATGCAAGAATAAAAGAACTTTTATATATAGAGAGAACTAAACTCCAAAGTTATTCGTAAATCTTAATTTCCCAAAGCAGTTGTACTTCAAATTACAATTTCATAACTACATATTCAAATTCTGAGACTGATGAGGAAAATCCTCTTTTCTGCTGAGCAGTTTCCTCCAGTTATTTGGGAACAACATAAAAAAGTAAGAATAAGAGGATAAGAATCTTTAAGATTAAAATAGTAACTGAAAATGGAAAACTATCAAGATAAGACCTATTATGAAAGATACATATTTTAGACATGCATCATTATTTATATTTTGATTGAGTTTCTGCATAAAATCTAAAGAGACATCATAAATAATGTTTCAAATTACCAGTTTCATAATAAGAATGAAGAACACACTAAAATAATAACTGCTTCTGTATTTTGGAAACAGTAGATTAGATACATTTTACAAAGCATTTATTCTCTAAGATAGCTGATTCTACAATATCATACTGAATAAGCATATAAGCTTTTTGTTAATGTTTAAAAGCAAAACTAAACAATTTAACCAAATAAATTCAAGGGGAAAAATAGTTGTATAAAAGTGCTTTCTTAAGTACTTTTGTTTGGAATAGTTACCTTTGTGACAGATTTTGAAATAATGAAATCATCTTATAGAACTTTCTTGTTCTAAATTTAAACTATATAACTTAAACTGAAATTTCTTCCACACCATGGTGATTTTACTGAAGAAGAATTTTGGGATGAATTTTGTTGATGTGATTTATAATGAATTTTGGCAACAAGCAATGCTGTCAAGTCTTGAAGGCAAATTTAAGGCCTATGCCTAGACCCAGTGAATCCACAGTTTGATTATGCCTGCACTAACACAAGCAGAGGACTGGACTTCTTTTTTTCTCATGAAAGAATCTTGCTCTCTCTAAATGCAAGCCCCACTACAATTTACAAAAACATTATTTTAAAAAATGTCAGTAACCAACCAAAAATAAGCACGACATACACATGTTTCCATTGGTTCCTTATATTACCAATTCCCGTATGCTTCCCAAGTAGACCAAGGAAGAGGGGAGAAGAGCATTCATTGTATGAGAGGGCTGTGACTAAGGGAAAAGTAAGTGGTTTGTATTATTTTAAAGTATACCTTATCCATGTCATTACTATTGATGTCATGTAGCCAACTGAGATGCTCATGAGCTTGTAAGAAGCTAGCCAGCTGTCCGTGCTGAGCAACTGGCTGTGATAACAGTTTTCCTCTTTTTCCTTTTTCCAAATACCAACGGAACAGAAAATCTGAAAAATTCTAAAAAATAACATTACATAAGTATAAGGATCTGCTTTACAAAATATGGTCTTGTGAAGCTGAAGTATAGATCTCTAAAAATGGAAAACACATATTTCCTTCCACTGGAACAATTTTCAATTTTTGTAGTAAAGAAAAAATATATAAATGCTGTCATTCATTTTACACACTTTGCAATTCAGGATTAATTACAAATGAAATAGCTTTTCATATAACTTACATTCAAAACAAAACAATTACTTTATTACTGATTCCAGCTAAATAGCAGAACAGAAGATCACCTAAAGTTTATGATATAAATAACACAGCAAGTTTTAAGGATTTCCAATAGAGAATCTATACAGTGCACATTTTTTGTTAAATATGCTGCCCAGAGCCTTGTTTTTTGAGATGGGCGGCTATATAAATCAGACAGACAGACAGACAGACAGAGTATCAGTACACTGAAGCATTTCTTTGGCTCTCTGCTGCCAATAGCAGAATCCTGTGAAAATTTATAGAATAGCCTTCTTTCACCTTTTTCCAAAATCACAAATTAAAAAGAACAAATAAGAGACAATGAAAAAAGCAGCATATCTTGGAAGAAAATGCAAGGGCCCAGAATCCAAGCACATTTTCATTTTTTGCCAGGGGTGGGGGACTGAGTCTATGATGTTCCAAATCTTCCCTGCCCATTCCTATTGTTTCATGTTTTATGAAGCTGAAACAATCTTACAGCCAAAGCTTGCTGGTTCAAGGATTACATGACAACAGCCACAGGCAAAATGCATCATCCAAATATTAAATGAACATCTTATTACAACTAACTAGCTATATAAATTGAAGAAATAAATAAAAATAAATAAACTGTATTTATTATATATATTGTATCCTGCTGTAGCTTTAATATGTAAGTACTTAGTGGGCAAGTTGGATGTGTCACTGGCATAATAATGCAACATATTTTCTTGACCATCTATGCATAAACCACCCTTAAATGTCATGGAATACACAGATCATTTATGTACATTTTATCCCTGTTTGTGTCCATGTTTGTTTCTGCCCAAGCTCTGAAAAGAAATGGGAACATTTTAAATGGATAGAAAAACATTCTTCAGTTTATTTCCTTGACCTAATTGCTTTCTTTCATGAAGTAGACAGGATTCCCAGGATTGTCTGGGATAGAACTATTAGTACTATCACTTTTGCTTTCTACTCATTTTTCTCTTTCACTAGCTTTCTGAGAAAATGAAGAACCAAGCTGCTTCCTGTTTTTTTAATATGTGATGCTTCTCATCATGTATTCTAACTATTCACCAACTATTATAGCTATTGGCCAGGTTATTTTGATCAGTCAAGAGAAGCTTGGCCCCTAGCAAGCATCCACTATTATGGTTCAATCTGAAAATTAAATTTTTTATTCCCTCATGTGAACGCCTAATATGTCTTCAGACGTGCAAAGGGCAAGTTGTCATCCTGGTTTAACATTACTTCCTCCTCTGTCAAGTGCTCCTCTGCCCAATGTTAGTCATCAAGTGGTTATTTCTAAAGTAGGAGTAGACAACCCTGAAGGCAGCTGAGCACATGTTGGTCCTTTGCCTTATGTTATATTAAATGTTCCCATGTGACTTGTTTTGCTTAATTGGCATATCTGCAGAATGCATGTTTGCACACTAATTTATAATGCACATTTTACAGTTCAAGTCCTGGAACAGTAGCTTTCTGGATAAAGGTAAGACTGACAATTCTCTCTGTAACTTGAAAAAATACGGGACAATTTAGACAGAAAATCCTTTAGACAAATTATGTGGAAAAAAAGTATGATTTGACATTATATGATGGGTGTTGAACTTAAATGACAAAATCTCACTATGGTAAAATGGTTACTTTAATACCTCACCTGATCAGCAAACTGGGTCATGTAGCGTTGTAATCTGCTTTGATTATCAGTCTGTTCACACAGTTGTACCAAAATATCAAAGTCACAATATTTTTCTGCAAGAGCAGCTGCTAGCTGGTATTGTTTGAGCAAAACTGGACAAAAATCAAACAAAACAAAAAACTCAACAGATCAAACATGTTTATCTTGTAAGCACTTTTAAATTAGATAATATTAATTGTCAAAGAAAATAATACTATATCTTCACAATACAATTTATGCATGAAATGTCTACCAGATGCATGGATGTTACGCTGCCTTGAAGTGGACAGGTAGTACCTTTTTTTCTTCAGTAAGTTCTGGCTTTTATCTGTTGCAATTTATTTATTTATTTAGCAAATTTATATGGCCACCCATCTCACATAATGTGACTCTGGGCAGCGTACAAATACAGCAACAATTAAAACAACATAACCAATCTTAAAACACTGAACATGAATCAAAATAAAAGACGAAAAAGCCAATTGCTATCAGTGCAATATTCTATCCACATTCAACAGATTGGTAGACTGGTAGTAGCAGAGTGGGTAATTAATAAACATTCAACAACTTTTAGAAACAGGATACATGAGATGGTATATAAACAAGCACTCTCAAGCCATTTTATTTGTTTACAAAGTAGTAATGCAATTTAAAGGAGGAATTCAATTGACTTATCCTTGTATACCATGAACTCTATAGTGCATTCCCCTGTGGAAAGGAAGCTTTATTACAATCAAGGGAACTGTACAAGCACAAACTGCAAAGTTGGGATTTGGCAAAGGAGCAAGAAATCACAGTGAATTAAGTGGTGAAGGTTCTCTTGCCAAAGGTGAGGTCTTGTCTGTATGGATCAATTTGTATAGTTATAACCCAAATCCTCACAGCTGCATGTGCTTTCCAAAAAACCTTGGTGGAGCCCACAGAGTCCTTCCAAAGTTGGCTACCAAATTGTTGCTTTTAATATGAGAGAAGAGGGCAATTATTAAATATGTGGGGAATAATCACATTTAGTAAAAACTACCCCAAGTGAAGCTTAACTGCTGCTAAGTACATATACATGTCCATCTAGTTTCCTGGCAACAGTATCTAAGTGGTTTGCATTCATCTTCTTCCAGAATGCTTTTTTAAATTTCCAGTCCACAAGCTGGGGATTTCCCAGGGCTCTCCCATTTAAAAGCTAAGCAGATCTCAGCCTGCGTAGCTTTTTGAGATAAGCCAAAGTCAAATACATGCTGCCATCTGCTGGGCTTCATAAGGTTACATTTAATTGAATTTAAATCAAACCAAATGCAGTTTTTCCCTACTTTGGGGAATGCATATCCTAATGTATCACTGCAATATGAGCAATCTACCTGAAAAAAGTTGTGCACCTCTGTCCTAACTAAAAAAATAGGGTCTGGTAATTATGACTGAATGCAAAATTACATTAAATAATAATTCTGGTAAATGATTTCCCCCATGATCTCTTCTTTTTAAAGAGAAAGCAACTTAAACCTGTCTAGAATAAAACTGGAAGAATTGAAAAAGGAATAACACCTTGTGAAACTTTGCTTTAGTTTCATATGCCACATTTTTATTTGGTGCTATAAACGTAAAGAGGTTCTGCTCTCCTTAAGCCTCTGTCTTTTATGTCTTATTGTTTTTGTTTCATGTTTTGTAAAATTGTAAACCATTATTAGGAATTTAAACATCACCTTGCAGAAAAACAGCAGCACTTACGTAGTGGTAACAATAATTCTGATCTTTTCTGTTCATATTCTACATGCAGACTGTTATAACGTTCCTGATGCTCAGGCTGGTCCACAGATTTAAGCTGCGAAACATAACCATCCAGAAAGCAATCCAGCAGTGCCACCAGCTGTTCTATCACTATGCTACGAAGCTTACTGTTAGCCTGTGGATAAACCTTCTTCAGAATGATTTCATGTTGCTGCACTATTGTTGTTCGCACACCAACAGATGCTGGAAAAGATCATAAAAATATTTTAATGACATTTCTACTAGTTGAAACTTTAACACAAACATAGTACATAGATAAGTTAAAAGTAAAATGGAAATGCTTATGTGAATGAATTGTTTCTAAGCAAAGCAGCATTTTTTAGTACAACAAACAGGCTTTCCAACAAGGAGAAGAAGAATGAGCATAAAACCACTGCAGTAGAGAAAAAGCTGTGGTTCACAAAGGAAAAGAACAATTTCTAGAGCTCAAAAGTATCCATTTATGCTCCCATACCCATTCAAATGAGGTTGATTTACGTTTCTTGTACAAATAATTGAATATACTATCAATAGCATCCTAATATATTTTTGCCCCACCAAATAAGTGCATAGGTTAGGGTGCATGAATAACTGCACTGTGTCCAAATCAAGAATAAAAATGCTGCTGGGTAAATTAATATGTTAACATTAAACTTCAGGAGGTGGAGTTAAGAAATGAAAGCAATTCACATTTTCAAAATACCCTTAGTTTTATCCTCAGGAAACCTGTCACTGGCATCAGAAAACAGCATTCTGATTAAATACACAAAATGGAGAGAATTGTTTAAAGGCTAATACTAGCTATGTGTAAGAACTGTATAATTAGGACCACGTTATAAACTGGCAGCAAAACATCATGAATACCATTTTAATTATTCTCACCTGTCCAAGGTACATACTCAGGTTCAACTTCAGTGGGATCTCTTATTTTATATAAAGAAGTTTTAGATTGGCGATCTTGGATAGCAGCTTTTAGCATATCCTTCAAAAGAAAACATGACAAAGAAAATATATCTTGTCAAAATTAATTTCATCGAGCTTGCCATGTTTTTAACATAAATATAATTCTTAATTATGAACTCATGTAGTCATTTTTGTAATGATTATAGACCACTGACAAATAAAATAAAATGCACTTGCAAAGACATGCCCCTAGACAAAAGCCAAGTATCATAATGGATTCAGAATTTTTTAAAAATAAGGAAACAGATGGAAAAGTGTCCTACAGTTTCATATACTGCTTTTGTTTTCAGCAACAGTAAATTCCGGGGGGCGGGGGGACATCAGATTGTTTAGAAAAAAGTTTTAAACATTTTGGTTCATAAGATGTCTGGTCCAAAATTAGAAAATCATTTGCAGGTTTAATCATCCACAAATGTATGTATTTGATAACTAAATAGGCAACACTTTACTGATAGAATCTTTTTCATATTTCTGTTCATTGTTTTATTATGTTGCAATTTCATCTACAATAACTAAAAGTAACTTTGCCTGAACAAATAAGAAAACAAAATATAATAAGGAGCAAAATCCTAAATACAACCCAGTGTAGACTGGCAATTGGATAAGAAAAATAGAACATGAGTGGCAGGAAGGTATACCGAGAATGGTCTTTGCTTGAATGGAATTACTGGCAAAAAATCTGAACTAACTCACTGCTTTTAAAAGAAAGGACACTTTGTAACTTTTTAATTTCATTTTACTATGGACAATGAGTTTAGCTACCTTTAAAAAAATGCTATTGAAATTTTCTCTGTCTTACTTCAATCTTGTCAATTTCCCCAAGATATCTTCCACATTTTTTTCCCCTTTACAATGTGTAATATGTTGCAGTGGTAACAGATGGTAGTGGTCACACCTATAAGAGTGGCTAATAATGTAGAAACTTAAAACAGGAGGTTCTTGATGATGGCACCCAACTATGGAATTATCTCCCAGGCACATCATGGTTGGTCTTCAAGTGTCAAGGTTTTTGGTAGAAACTATACATGTCTCTTCACCAAGGTGCTTGGCATGTAATATTGTTATACATTGCTTTTTGAGCTAGTACTTATTCTGGCTTTTGTGATACCTTTCTTTCATGTTTTTGAATATTATATAACACTTCAATTGACTTCTTCAAAAAGAATACAGACTGATCAGATTCCTCCTTTTTTAAATTAACCACTACATTAAAACACAATAGTAGACTAAGCAGTTTAAAATCCCACCAATTTCAGTGTACGGAATTTAAGCACATGTTTAATTGTCCTACTCAAATTACAAGATCTAAAATTATTTCTCTGACTTCAGTAAATCTAAAATTTGCTTGATTTCTGGGTAAATCAAACAAGCAGACATATTCATAAAAAGGAGGGTGCTAGTGAGATTCCCCCAACTTCACCACACTACACTATCCTGCACACTCCATAAATGTGCTCCAGAGGAGTAAAGAATCCTTCAGAACAGATTTACAGAAGTACATAGAGATAGAAAAATGTTAAGTCTTACTGCATGGATAGAAATCTGCTTATACAACATTAGATATAATCAACTTTGCTGGTTTCTGACACAATTATTAACACAGAATATCATACCTTTATGATATTGTTTACATCGACAACTATTTTACCCCATTCCTCAGACTGAACTGATGTATCCTTCAAGACTTGTTTTTCCTTTTCCAGTAAGCATTCAAAAATAGTATCTATCTGAGAAACCTGAAAAACAAAAAAGTGTCACACTTCCACTTGGTGAAAACACCGGGTGCTGAGTTTTTAAAAGATTCACATTGGGGTAGGCAACCTTGCATATACTGCATAATTTTAATTTTCATTATTAAGGCATGACTGCCTTCTATTAACTTTTTCTCTCTGTTCCAAGACATTTGGACTATATCTGGGGTGCTTTCAGGATCCTCATATATTTGAAGGTTTATTCATGCTGAAAATCATTGTGATTCTAGCTAGCAAATAATTCTCACCTCTCTAAAGAAAACATCAGCAGGTGTTAGACCCGAAGGAATGTCATCTTCTCTTTTGTTCAAAGCAATCTGTATTGCAGAAGTCACAAGATCTGGCAATTTGTAATGATAGTTCTTGAGAGCAATAGCTGCTGCTAATTTTTCTGCATGTTCACAAAGTAATAACCGAGTTGCCATCAGGATGCCTCTTACTTGAACACAACCCAGACGTCCAAAGAGATCAACCTTAGATAGAGATAATTGTAAATAAAAATAATGTATGCCACATTGTTATTCATATTTCTATCTGACAGCATTAGGAGCTCACCTGGCGAAGAAAATCAATGTACATAGAATGTGCTTGCGATTTATTATCCAGCTGGTGAAGAATAATGATGGATGAGTTGGTAAAATTTGCTGCATCTGGACAAAAATGTGATCAACAGCATTTAAATGTTTACTTGCTTCAAATCTTTGAAAGTGTCATTTTACTTTTCAATTAACTTAAATATTTTATATACACAATTCTTTCAAAAGCTATTTGCCCCCCTTTGGATTTTTGCATATTTTTGTCAGTATTATATAAAGGGAATCTAACAGCAATGTGTTTGTTTCTTTCCTTTGGATCAGGCTCAGCTGTAATTTCACATCAAAATCTATAAAGATGTCTACTCCAAGAAGTCAATAAACTCTCTAATCATGAATATATTCATGTTCAATACATACTGGATGATATAGCAGCTTTCTTAAACAGAGGAATACATCATATGGAGGTTTTCTGGGTTCAGCACTATTTTGGATGCCTTTGCCTATTTCTGCCCACCATGCATTATTTCTGAAAAATGCAGATTTGGTCAGGATGTGTATGCAACTGAACAACTATTTTGTTTTGAACATGGAACCATCATGTTTCAGAAATTTCATTAAACTGCTTGGGTCAGTCAATGCTTGACAGAAAATAAAGTAGGTACATTTGGGTGATTTAGAAGATATAAAAATCTGAACAGAGTGAGTAAGGCAAGCCAGGTACCTGTATGTGTCATCATCTTCTTTCCACACCAGCTCTCAGCATGGCATGTCTACAGGCCTGCCCACCCCAATTTCTCCAACACCTTCCTTACTTCCCCAGCCATCAACATCCCTCCATAACATATTCCCCAGCAATCTTCTCAATACTTTCTTTCCCTTTCCCCTGAGCCATCGCTGGTGTTGTAGCAAAGCATATCCCACTGGATGGCTTGTCTATGTACCATCCCAACGCCTTCCCCTTCTTCCCACCCTCCTGGACAGATACATGAGAATGTTGGTCATATTCCAGAATGCACTCTAAATTCATTTCAGGCAACAAGAAGATTCAAAAGGATTGGCTATACTTTTGGAGTTATACTTAAACACGCTGAGAAGGTCCCAGCTGGAGAATACTGTTGTAGAAGAACTCCTTGGAATATCCTGCAATGCACAGGAATTGCCAAGCGTCCAAGGTAAAAGTAAAAAGGGCTACCTAAAATTCTGGTATTCAGTATTCTCTGCTGTTGCCTCAAGAAGAGAAAAAGAAATACAAAACCTTCCACAGATTGTGACTGTATGTATATGTATGTATATAAATGACATAGGAAGAAAACATTTTTTTCCCTTAATTTTCTTACTTTTGGCACGTGAAGTTTCCACTCTGGTCCGCAACATAAAGAAACACTTCAAAGCACTCTGACACATATAGACAGCACTAGGCTATGGATGGCTGCTCAGGAATATGCTTTTCAGTTTATGTGAGATACAGGTCAGGCCTGTTGAATTTTCCTGTTGCCCATAGTGAATGGAGAGTGTGTTCATTCCAGAGCATGGCCCACACTCTCCTGCACCAATCCAGGAGGGAGGAGAAGGAAGGGTCTGGGAAGATATGGGGTGAGAAAGGGGAAGACTGGCCAATGCGATATGCCATACTGGGACATCAGTAATGGCAGCTGAAGAAAGGAGAGGAGGGAAGGAAGAAAGATGCTAGGAAAATCAGAAAGTGGGCAGGCTGGTGGGATATCCTGCACTGGAACACTGGGACTAGCTGAAGAGCTAAAGAAGCTGGGAAAACTGGGGATAGCTGGACTGCCATCCTGGGAGATATTGCATGGAGAAGGGGATTGCTAGCTTTGCTCCCCTGCCCCTCGGTATTAATTTCCTTGGCACTGCCCCACTCTCCTCATCCCAAACCACTTCTGCTGCAACATCCCTATTCTATTTCATGCAAAATATCTAGCATGTGTGTTTCAGTTCAGGCACAGACCACTAGCAAACAGCTATTCCATGCATATCCACAATAATATTGTAATGTATCCTATTAAGGGCTACCCATGAAGTACACTTAGGTCCAATATACGTAAACATATTTATTGTTTCCCCTTTTAATACGTAAGAATCCATACCTTCAGGTACAGCTTCAGCCCACCGTGGATCAGACGTAGGATAATCATCTATTAATTCTTCACTGACTTGAGTTACGGCTCTATCAAGATCAGCATCAGGACCTAAAACTGCTTCCTGGGGAAAAAGCTCAGCAATTGTGGCATTTGCACCCTTCACATCCTTCCTGCAGTGAATAAAAAGGCGATTGTAAGTCAATCATTATAATGAGATATTAACTAGGGTAGCTTGGTGGTAATAGTATTCTTTTCTGGTTGAGCTTCCCATTTTGAATACTTTATTAATGAAAGGCCATGTGATATTTTGAAGATCAGGGGTAAAGAGGGTAATCTGGCCAAAAGACTATTGCAATAATCCAGATATGAGACAATCAGGGCATGAACCAGTTTTGCCCTGACTGGAGTTCTGTGATAAGGAACTGATCCTATGAACATTCAATAAATGGAAGTTACAAGTGTTGATGGTTTTACTGATGAAAGGCTATAAAGCAAGTCATTCACTGAGTTGGATACCTAGGTTCCCCACCATTGAGGAGGTCTGCAGCTGGCAGCCCTGAAAACAGAAAGGATTTACATGTTTTCTTTTGGAGTAGCAGTCCCTTGCTTTCACTGTAGCCACCCATTTTTTCCTTCTACAGTCGTCAGAAGTTTATATCTAATCTGTTGCTATTCGTGTTGACATATTTTGGCTTAGTGATCAACTTACACCCTGGAGTCTGCCTTCTGTCCATCTCAAACTGAACATGGACAAGACAGAGATTGAGATGGACAGAAGGCAGACTCCAGGGTGTAAGTTGATCACTAAGCCAAAATATGTCAA